GGACGATCTCCACGCTCAGGACGATCTCCACGCTCAGGACGATCTCCACGCTCAGGACGATCTCCACGCTCAGGACGATCTCCCCGTTCTATACGTTCACCACGTTCCAAGCGTTCCCCACGTTCGGGTCGTTGTTCACGACGCCATTCCGAGTTAGATGCATTACCACGATCACTACGCTCAACACGATCGCTACGATCGCGTTCACCGCGCATACGCCATTGATCACGATCTTTTTCACCGCCCTTATCCCGGTTTTGATCACGCTCTGAAGTAAATTCGCGAGATAAACGTTCGCGCTCTTCCTGAATGCGGCGATCGGCTTCCTCTTCTTTAGCTCGCTGCTTTTCATACTGAATGCGGCGCTTCTCCTCTTCAGCTTCTCGCTCTTTGCGCAACGCTTCTGCAATAACACGTTCTTCTTCCTCTTTTGCTCGACGAATCTCTTCTTCTTTGCGCAAGCGTTCTTCTTCCTTCTCACGCAGAAACTGACGACGACGTTCTTGTCTACGCATCTCCGCGCGATGTGCTAGCAAGCGTTTACGTTCCTCGGCCAATGCCACTTCAAACTTCTTCAATTTTTCAACATATAAGGAAGCACGTTCTTTTTTAAGTGCTTCTAGAAATACGTCGCGATCGGCATACATACGCTTCAACCTCTCTTGCTGCGCAACGGCGTCTTTACGTTCAGCAATGGCATTTTCGATGCGTGTATGTTCTTGTGCCTCCCAAAACTCCTTATCTTTAACTTGTTTTTCTGCTAAATACTTCTCGAAGAGTGGGATTTCCTCAATGCGCTTGGCACGCTCATAGTAATCGACCTTTTTCTCCTGAGATTTCAGTTTAGATTGCAATTCCTTGCGTTCACGTTGTAGTTCTTCAGATTCTCGGGCTGCAATTTGCTCTGCATCCAACTTTTTAATACTTTCTTCATCCAATTTAGAAAGCATCTTTTTGCCGTGAGCTGTTTGAGAAATTTGTTGCATTTTATCCTGGAAAAAATATTAAAGCTATAAGCTTGGCACATTTTTGTATTGCAATTTTTCAAAAAACGTACCTTTAAGCTCTTAACTTTTATAGCTTCAATTTCATTCTGGTGTCGTTTTCGTTCTCGTTCTTCATTTTCTTGTTCCAAACGTTTTTGTTCGGCCAGTTTTGCTTTGCGTGACTCTTCTTCCAAACGTCGGGCTTCTTCCTCTTCCCGAGCATTATTCTGTTTTTCAATGAATTCCTTACGATCTTCAATGATCTTTTGACGCTGCAAAATACGCTGATGTTCACGATCTTTAATTTCGTGATAGTGATACACCATCTGAGCACGTAACTTTGCACGTTGATCTTTCTCCCGATTGGGGTAAACAACTGATACAGCACGATTCAAAACAGTCGCCATATTAACCAATTGAGAACGAATTTGTTCAGAAGGCATTGATTGCAGAGTTGGACCATCGGGATGATCTTCCCTTTGGCTCTCGGTTAGATCAGTACCAAAGTAAATGCATCGCATTTGGTGGTCAATGCGAATTTGCATGTCATTATGACGTACAGAATCTACCAACAACTTTTCGAGCTCAAAAATATTGCAAAAGGATGCTAGCTGTAGCAATCTACTAAATTCAATACTCTGGTAGACCTGTGAAATTTGTCTTATCAACCGCATGATTGTAAGATCTTTTAGAGATTTAATATAGGGGGCGAGCAAATTGTTCTCTGGAGGAACGCTTTCTATTACGTCAATAATTGTTTGTACCCGCTTGCATAAATTCAATGGATTGAAGTCAACTTCAAGCCAGTTATATAAATTTCTAAATTCTTCTGAAGCTAATTGCGGTACATTGAGTCGAACCTTTAATATAAAAATGTATAAGTAAAACCTATTTAAATAATGTACATGTATAATACTTACAACTTCTTTAATCAACGATGCCCTTGTGGGGGGTTGTTGCAAACCCAGTAATACTGCTAATTTTTGAGCCTTTTCAAGTGGGCTCTTATCGGCTTCAATAAAACGGTCGAATTCAGGATGTGCTGATGGCAGCGGTATTGACAGGGTAGCAATAAGAACATGAGAGGCCATTCGCTGCATATCGTCTTTCGTTAAATTTTTCTTTAGTTCACGTGTTAATTGAAACAACTTCAGAAGCGCTGCAGCATGAAAAAGTTGATTTCCAGCCTTGGAGAAAACCATCGCTAATTTTTGATAATAGTTTGCCATAGTTTTTGGAACCGGAGTTTTCTTCGACAAAGCCATTAAACCGTGTATATCTTCAATAGCCTTATAAGCCTCTTGCCATAATTCCATTTGAATGGCTGAGTCTAACTGATAAAGCCTAGTGTCCAAACATAGTTGCTGCGTTTCAAGCTTAGTAATTGACACACCAGTAGTTTGGGTAGTACTCTTGCAAATATCTTCTAAATGCTTTCGTAATTTATCACATAAACGACGGAACTCACTCTTTCGATTATACTTCAGGCAAAACTGAAACGCCATACGAGCAATGTCGTGATATAACCCTTCACAGTGCGTATTGACACGCAATAATTCTAAACACTGGCAGTATGACTCCCACAGAAATTTTACCCATGGCAATAGAATTGTACGATCAGAACGATCTTGGGCATCTTCTCCACAAACAGCGCTCATTAAAATGCTTTCCGGAGTAGCTATGTTGTCCAGGTCATCTAATTCCAAAACAGCAACTGCAGCCGACGATTGAGCCTGTGCAGCTTCAGTATGTTCTTCAGCCATACGCAAGTATCCACGGATAACATTTTCCAAAGAATTCACATTCACGAGCTGGAACATGTTGCGATATTGGAAAAGTCCCTCCTTGGCGATGTGCGATTTCTTTAATTCCACACATAAATATAAATATTTAAACATAAGGGGTTCAATTATGGTCTCCGAGTAGGCATAATTCCACCGTTTGTTACGGAAGACCTCCTGAAGAGTATCCAAAGCCCGCAACGGCTTTCCAACTTCGATGAACTCTAAAAAATAACATTAATTTGACTGTTAATTCTTTAAAACTGCATGCTTAATTATAAGTAGTAATACATATAGATTGTATTTATGTATATGCATAATTTGTGGTTCAATATGCTGCTTATCCTCCGCATATCGACAATTTCGGGTTTCGTCATCTGTATACCATGAATATAAAATTATGTGACGTCGACATCAAAATCAGCATGCTCTATCGCAGCAAATACCTACCATTTGCTCTTTTAAGAGCATTTTCTGGACGTTGAGTATAGCGAGCCATTATTATTTTATCTTCTTTTTCACAACTAACACTTCAAATTACTATTTTTTAATAAATTCGCAACAAAAATGTTGGTCTGAAGCAGAAAACTTGTTAAATTCGTCGGCCTGCCTCTATATGCCGTCGAAATTTTACCAAAATGGCCGAGTGGAATTTTGCGAAGAGTTGCAATGAATACGTTAAGGGCCCTATCACACGGTCAGTAATTATCACGACATTTGCATCGCGATCTATATTGATGGATCACGTACGAATGCTAGATGTTCAATATTTATCGCGTCAGTATTTGCATAAAGTGAAGCGCACATAAGCGCAATTCACACGTTGCGAATCCGCAGAGCTATAAATTACAACAATGCCACCCATATATTTTAATGAGCTAGCGCACACTTGCATAATTCTGTCGCTGCGAATTTTTCAAACATTCAATGTTCCTCTCTTTTGACGCGTTCGAAACGCGGCTTGCAGGGTTTAAGCACCGATATCGAAGGCAGAGTGAATACGTTTTTCATGTTCGCATTATGGGAGTAAAAGATGTACTGACGAAATATATGGATCGCGTTTTGAAAGTGCTACACGTTCAATATTTATTTACGGTATTGCGATCAACGATCAAGATTTAAAAATTTTTCGATATTTTGTGATATGGATCACGATCCATCAATACTGCATGCTACACCGTCAATAAATATCCCGATACTTGGATCACGTCAAGAAATACTGACCGTGTGACAGGGCCCTAAAAGCGCCTACATGCGCATTTACTTACGGCCCGTCTCCACAGGCAAAAGTTTTTGCCTACCAACTGTCATTTTTATTGCCTGATAAAAATTTTATCAGCGGCAATATTTGTGCGTGGGCATTTTTTATCTTGATAAAAGCATTTATAAGATGGCAATTTTTGCCGGATTTCATCAATTAAAAAGTTTAAAAAATATGCTATTTCACACCCAAGCAAATAATAACACATATTTTAATAGAAAACAGTTCAATTTTTGCTTTTATATTGAAATATCGATAATGTTGTCTCCACGAAGCTATCGCGCAAATGAAATTGTAGCTGTCAAAGTACCAAATTGCTGGCAATATTTATCAAGATATAAGCTCTGATAATTATTGCTTGCCAAGAGCAATATGCGGTCTCCATGGGCAAAATTTTGCCTGATAACATTATCAAGATAAAAACTTTTGCCTGTGGAGACAGCAAGTAATATTGTCAAGATAATTATGTCAAAATGATGTTTACAACAAACACACGGCGAATTCAAATTACAACAAACAGATCATTTTGACATAATTGTCTTGACAATAGCCGTGTTTTATTTGTCTAGAAATTTAAGCTATTAGCTTATTTTGTATGTAGGACTTACCCAACATAATTATATTGGCTAATGAAAAGCTATATTGGCTTGTATATTGAACAAGAGGCATTGCCATTCAGAATCAGAAATTTTCGCCTTCAGCCAATCAGAAAGAGGCAAAAACTTAATTTGACATTATTTGCAGTCAAACAACTGTCAAAATTAGGCTAACATAGGAAATAAGCTAATTTCGTTTTATTTGACCAAGATTTAGCTATTTGCTTGTGATGGTTGAATAAAACATGCCTAATATTGTCCGGTGTAAGCCAAGTTATTTTTCGGCCTATAAGTTGGCCAACTTACCGGCCGTCTTCACATGCTTGCAAATATGGCTTGCGTTATTTTTTTTTTTGAGTAACCCCAAAGAACTTAGATAACAAGAAGGGGCAATTCATTATAATTGTAGCGAAAGTGAGCGACAGGGGCGTGCCTTCTCTTTTCATCCAATCAGAAAACGTCCTAAAGCAAAAGAGAACGCACGCCCTTGTTGCTCACTTT